AGAAACTGGGGCCAGAGTCCAGTTACTCTGGGGCAAAAACCTGCACTTGTATAAGCGCGTGGGAAGCGTCTGCCTTTTTGTTTGCTTTTTGTTTAAGATGCTTCAAGGACTTTGTTGTAAAATGCTGTTGGATATTGCCAAATTGTGAAAGGTCTTGCACTGAAACCGCCTTTTTTTTTCTTTTTTTTTCTCCTTTAAATCCAGGAGGATGAAGAAGGCTACAATGATGGTGAAGTAGATGACGATGAAGATGAAGAAGAGCCCGGTATGGCAGCAATCCAGTTTTTGCTAGAGATAAAACAATACTTTTTTTTTTTTTTTTTTAAAAGTAAATTCCCTTTTTCAAAGAAGCAGGCTCATGTTTGTATTCCTGCTCCTTTGATAGCAAGCCAGTTGCCAAAGTAGAAGCTTGTTGAACTTGTTCAGCTTCTCAGCAGCGTGAGGAGCACTCACGTAATTCAAATGGTGTTTTGTTTTCTAGATGAAGAGCGGGGACAGAAGAGAAAACGAGAACCTGAAGACGAAGGGGATGAAGACGACTAAACTGAATAACCTATTTTGAAAATTTCCTATTGTGATTTGACTGTTTTTACCCTGTATTTCCCCTCCCCACACCCCCAACCTTTTTTTTTCTTTTTTTTTTTTTTTTTTTTTTTTTTTTTCCTGATTGTAATGTTGCTGTGGGAACGAGAGGGAGAAGCAGACTGGGTGGGCAAGGGAATAAAATACTATTTTTACTGCCACTCCTCCTCCTATTCAATTTAATTTTTTTTCTTTTTGTCCCTCTCTTAGTCCCTGTAACTGCAATAGTAAGTATAAACCAAGTGGTAATTTGTTTCTTATTATTGGAGTGGATAGTCTGACATCTTTTAAAAAACAAACAAACAAAAAAGACAAAAAAGTTGAAGATCAGCGGATGAGAGCCCGAATACACATACTCTGTTCTGAGACAGCTGAATAGCGTTGGTCCTTGGGATTTTTCCACCGCTGCCAGTCACTAACGAGGTTGTGAGCATATTTTTGGGGGATGCTGCAAACCTGGGCAGAGCATCCCTCCACAGCAACAGGTGTGAGAATGGCATATGGATAAAGTGATTTCTTTGTTGCCTGTCCGTGAATGACTGCCATTTTCAGCCGAGCTTTCCTGGCTTTTGTAGGTACCTTTTCTTTTGCTCTTTGTAAATAGTGACCAAACGTTTTTCTCTTGGTTTTTCTTGGGGTGTTCCTTTGGATCTGGTTTGTGGGGTGAATTTGAAATCCCCGCCCTCCTCCCCCGCCCTGTGTGTTGTGTGTTTTCCTTTCTGTTTGTTTTTGGGGTTATTTTTTTCTTTTTTTTTGGCTAGGGTATAGCCAATCCACTGAAAATGGCAGGCATTTAAATATATATATAAATATATATAAAAAGTGTTCCTAATTCCTGAGTTACTAGTGAAATGAATTTGACAATTGTAATAAAAAAAATGTTTCAACCCTTTTAAATAAGGTGTGTACTATTTTGGTCTGTAATATATAACACCTAGTCAATTTTAAGTGATGAGAAACTACTTCCACTTGTGCTATATACTTTGAAAATTTTTACAAACCTAAATACAGGAGGCAGTTCAGCATGTAGGGTAGGAGGTTTCTTTTCATACACTCAAGCACGAGATACTAATACAAAATTGTATTTTCTTACCTAGTGGAAGTCAGTAAAATGACTGAAAAATACCTAGTGAATGTACAGTTTTACTTTCATATCCCTCTTTAAAATAGCTTTAGAAGTGACTTGTATTTCCTAGTCAATATTTCATCTGTATAAATACATTTGCAACAGTTTTTTTTTTTTTTCCCAGAAGAGCCAAACTTTGAGTTTTATGTCTGTTTGTCATTGATGAATTTCAATAAATCTTTTTATACAATTTTTCTGTGGCTTATTTGAGTAAAACGGGCCACTGGGAAGGAATCACATACCTTTTTGAAAAGGCATTTACTAAGCTATTCTGGTAGGTTCCCTGATATTTTTAGTAGCTCGATGATACGTTTTGCTCCATAAAAACGACTCTTAGCCATGGTTGGGTGAAACCAAAGGAGAGGCTGTGGCTTTAATCCAAATAATGGTTTGCCATTTTGCTTTCAGATTGAGTTTTTTTCCCGTGTTACTGGCGTGATTATTGCAGTTGAGCGTGTTCATTTCTACTGTTTAATGCTATCCCTGTTTATCCAGGCCCAGAAGGAAGAACCCCTGATTTCCTCCGGCCGAGCGCGGTGCTGCGGCTCAGGGTGAGAGCTCTGGGTTGGTCTGTCTGGGAGCTGTGGTGGCCTGAGACGAGCTGGGAATTACAGAGTTGGGAATTACAGGTGCACGGCGCAGCAGGTAGCGTGTTCCGTGGGCTTCAGGTGCAGTTTCTGTGCCCTGCGAGAGCGTGAGAAGCTGCGGAGGATCACGTATTTCTTCTGAACTGGAGCTCTTTGGGGGGAAAAAAAACACAGACTTTTTTCTATAGGTGGGAAACTACACTATCCTGAAGTTTGTGTAGGGTGGGGTTTGTTGTTTGGTTGTTGGTTTGTTGTTTTTTTTTTTTAAGAGGAAATCCAACTGGGCAAACCACTCCCTCCCCAGCCAGCTGCTGTGAAACCGAAACCGTGAACTGGCAGGACAGGGTCGGGCTCCTGCAGAGCAACCAGGTTGGCACTGGGTAAGGCAGGGGCAGGGCCAGCAGCTGCAGAACCCGCTTGTGGCGCTCTGAACCCGCTCAGCCCAAGGCTTCAGTTCGCCTTTGTACTGGGAAACTCGCTTTTCCAAAGGCACAGCTTTCTATTTCAGCTCTCAGGAGGAACCAGCAGCAACTGGAGCTGGCCTTTCCTGCACGATGAGCCTCTGTAGGTGCCAGAGAGGCAAACGAGGATGCCCAGGTGAACGCCCCCTCTGCGTGCAGGAGGCACAGCGATGCCAGGCTCGCACCGTGACGCTGAAGTGACATTTGGGCTCTAGTGAGCTGCCTCCAGCTGGCACAGCAGTTTTTCCTCTTACCCTGCAAGCGCTCAGAAACCCTTCAGCTCTTCACCCGGTGTTCGCAGTGAACGGCCTGGGTGTCGCTTAAGTGACTCTTCTCTCCAAACGGTTAATTGTTTCAAGGCTTATTTTGGAATTAATTAGGTTTCTCAAAGAAAACTGCAGCAGTTTGCTCCCCAGTCCTGTTCACTGATTCTGCTGAAGCTCTGATCTGCTGGGAGATGGTCGTCTTTGGGCAACCTGGTATAGTGGAAGGTGTCCCTGCCCATGGCAGGGGGGTTGGAACTGGGTGATCTTTGAGGTCCCTTCCAACCCAAGCCATTCCATGGTTCTATGATTTGATAATGCTTTCTTGTACTGTTTGTGGTGGTTGGAGCAAGGGCACGGGGCTGTGGTGAAGGGCAGGGAGACCTTCTGAGCCCAAATAATTGTCAGCGTCATCCAATTACGCAGGAGGAGAGCGATAGTTGGGGAAAGCTGATGCTTTGCCCTGTCAAACTTTTTGGCAAGACTTTAACACTCACTGTTCAGAGTTTTTATTGTTCCATCACGCTTGGCGCTTGCCAAACGTGCGTTCCCATGAGAACACCACCGGTCCTTGCTCCGAACATCCCTGTAGGCCAGCTTTGCTGTAGTTGCTAATTTTACCGTCGTTTTCCAGCGCTGGACAGTACGGCAGGTGATGAGGTGGTTCCCTGCTGAGCCCTTCCAGATGCTGTGGAACAGCTGGGTTGGTCACATCTGGCTAAAGCGGGTACGTCCGAGCACGGCCGTCAGGTCGATGTGGCACATGGCACATCCCCGGTGCTTGCCAGGATGCCCAGAGAAGCAGCCGGCTGCTCCGCGGAGCCCGGCGGAGCTTCAGCTCCGTTTGAGCCCCAAATTCTCTGGTGTTTGAAAACCTCTTCCCGGGAGGAGAGGGTGGGAAAGTCGGATTCTGGAGATCTTGCTTTAGGTCGGAAGGCAGCGGTGCATAATTTTTAAAAACTAAATTGGTAAAAAATTCCAATCATTTTTTTTTTGCTGTGAGGGAGTTGAGCTCCCCGTGGAGGGTCCCCGAGTGCGGAGCTGGAGGTGCTGAACCAAGCGGGGCCGAGTTGGGCGAGTGCAAAGCTCCCCTTGATTTTAAGGATGTCAGAAAACGGAGGGGCCAGCGGCATCCTCAGCAAATTGATGGGAAACTCCCATTTAATCAAAATAAACCCCATAGTGGCTTCTCCTCAGCATTTACTTAATTTTAGATTTAAAAAAAAAAACAGATCTTATCTCTTCATCTATAAATTTGGGAGGGGATGGTGTTGATCACCAGAAACCTTTTCAAGTAGGCGCTCGGAGAATGTTGGAAAACAGAGAATTAGCAGTAATCCTGCAGCTAGGAAGCGTGCGAGGAGGGCAAACCTCGAACAAAGCGAAACCTCCAGAAAGCAGAAAGTAGGTCAGGTTGGTGGGGATGAGCACAGAGGGACAGCAGAAATACGGAGGGGAAAAACAAAGTAGGAAAGAAATCACCCCGTGGCCCCGCTTGAAGAAGGAAGGGGCCGGCTGCTCCGGACAGCTGAGATATTTAAAGCCTTTTTCCTTAAAACCTGTTATCCCCAAAGAGGCTGGCTGTGCTGGAGAGGTGATTGCAATTAGCAGCAGCACAGGAAGGGTGAGACCTCAGCCTGGGGCTGGAAGGGGAGAGCTTGGGAAATGCTGCAGATTAAATTATCATAGAATCATGGAACGGTTTGGGCTGGAAGAGACCTCAAAGACCATCCAGTTCCAACCCCCCTGCCATGGGCAGGGACACCCTCCACTACACCAGGTTGCCCAAAGCCTCATCCAACCTGGCCTTGAACACTTCCAGGGATGGGGCAGCCACAGCTTCTCTGGGCAACCTGGTCCAGTGTTTCACCAAATGAGGTGTTTGTGAATTTATTGAGGCTGGATGAAGTTCCTGGAGGCATCCTGGGGAGCTGAGAGATGAGCTCTGCTGACGCTGCAGGAGCAGGGAGCAGCTGGGAGGCTTTAAAGAAACTGTAATGTGTGCAAGAAGGATGGGAGAGAAAAAAAAAATCCGGGAGGTTACAGACTCATTGGGCTCATTTAGACCCTGGAAAACACTGCGAACTACCCAGGACCATCCAAAAAAACCCACAAGGGCACCATGGGCTTGTCAAGAGCCAAGGGCAGGGGGTGGGTCTCACAATTCCCGAGCAGCCCGAAAGCTCCAGGCAAGGGGTCCTGTGGCGTGTTCGGGGTGCGATGCCATACGCTGCAT